GGCTCAGCACATATCTTCCATTGTCGACTCACTTGGCCTAAGCTTCAAACGGGAATTTACTGACCACTTCTTCCCATCAATCTTTCCTGAACCACTACAGCGACTATGAGAGCCATACCATATGTTCATACATTGTATCATACATACTTGCCATTTTTGAAATAAATAATATTATCCCTATATATACAGGCTTATGTGCAGCTACGTATGGTAGCGTACACCACGAGGGACACACATTGTACCGTTACACCGCAGGGGTAGGGTATGAGATGCAATACCCGAAGGTGTATTCAGATTACTATAATCAAGGTAAAGCCGCTGTAGATATTAATAATGATTTGAGAAGCAACACGCTATCTATTGAAGAAGGTATATTTACACGTAGTTAGGAGCAGCGAACATTGTATTCCTTCATCGACGTTACCATCACTAATTCAGTGATGGCAAGCAAGCATCTATATAACAACAGCAAGACTATTCCAGAATATCTTCTAATATTAGTCGACAATATTATAAAAACTTATCATGACGGCGTTTCACTACATGGTCGGGCCGTAGCTGAATCCGAATGCAACTTTAGAGAACGAAAAAGGAATGAAGGTGCCTACAACATATACAAGCGAAAATTCAATGAGGTACGTACTAGCTCGCAATCAATGGTATGCTCTGGGGTCGGTTGCAAGCTGCCGAGAGGTAAGAGTAGACGCAAAACGTACTGTTCATGCTCGCCATGGAACACTGTATGGACTGATTGTTATATAGATCATAGGCTACAGAAGCTTGGGTACTATTAACAATTTTTGAAATCGCATGCATGCGATGGTTGTGTACATCTAATAATAAAAAAAACTCTATTCACAGCATCTGATTAAAGATTTCAAACTGTAATGACTATACATAATCTAACAATATACAAGGTCTGAGGGTATCAAACGATTTGTTACACTGTTACGAACACAACAACACCTTTAACATATTCATACGTATAGTACCACTCATGGTAGTGAGTATTTTGTTAGTATACACGTTTGTGTATAGTGATTTGAGGTACTTTTTTTTTAACAGTTCTGGTGGATACGTTTGCAATTCAACAACGGCTACACCGACGTACCGAACTGTTCAGGAAGACAAGCCCTTCAATTGTCGCAAAAGATATCTAGGAATATATTAATATACGACAAGTTATATTAAAAACCAATCGTACACAAACGTGTATTTAATTATACATTTTGTTCACTTGTATGCAAAACTCAACACAGTAGGCTACATGCACCCTCCTAAGGGTACAGTAGAACTCGGATTCTACCCGAAAACACCGTACTCAAACTAAAACGGGGTTTATACTGTAAAAGCCGGGCCTCTACATTAGAATCTTGTTATATAAACATACTCTTAATAGAACGTAAACGTACTCTTAAAAGTACGTAAACTCTTAAATGGGTTTTAACGGGTTTTATTAATTAAATACCTTTTCCATTTTACATATCAGATATTTGGACAAGGCCATTAAAAGGCCCCAGTAAAATATCAAAAATAGGATTTGGTTTAGTTCTATTAATAGAACTATATTAACCTTCCAAATCTATTTATATCTGAATACTTGGGTAGCGAGATGGCTCAACCGAATATAGGTTTCTAGGGACTATTAACGTTACCTAGTTGATCCTCCGATCAGCCAACCATATGTGCCAGTCTGATGAAGGCTAAGTCGGTAATTCTTGATAAGTGGCAAGTTATTGGTTAAGACAATAACTAAGGACATCAAGAGTATTTTAATTTAATTTTAATTTTTCTAAAGATAGGATTTTATAAGTTTCTCGGATTCGCCCCAACGAAACATACCATAGTTTCTATTAGAGCGACAACGAAACACTAAATAAAATCCCTTCGGCAAAAACAATACTGAGAGGATTATATATAGGCAATGTCTCAGCCTCACAATCCCTCAGAGGATTGCTGTTTTCACGAGGCATACCTAAATTTACTAAAAGACTCATTTCGTTTATTTACATTGAATTTAATTATATCTAGACTTATCCTAAGCGTTTAATTACTCTCAGGCGTTAATATCGCCTTGATAGACCGAAACGTACAATACGGCCTCAGACAATCTGGCCGGTTATGGAATTTTGATATCGCTGATGAACTCAGAGGCGGACGAATGTATCTGGGTCCACACAACAAAAGACATCATTGTACTACTCTACGTGGACAAAATCTGCCCAGCCATTCCACCCGACACATCACACGCCGAGTGGCTCTATGAACAACTTGGCGCCCACTACAAACTCAAAGATTTGGGACTTGCAAAACACACAACACTGATGGCAGTATATCCATAGGGATAATATTATTTATTTCAAAAGAAGATAAGTTACATTGTATGTATGTTATAATGTATGAACATATGATATGGCTCTCATAGCCGTTGTAGTGGTTCGGGAAAGATCGATGGGAGGAAGTGGTCAGTAAATTCCCGTTTGAAGCTTGGGCCAAGTGAGTGGACGATGGAGGATATGCAATCGAGTCGATTCGGGCCGGTGCTGACAAAACACTGATACCATCGAATGTGCCATGTATTCGCTTGCTGACCTACTAAGTAGGACAACAAGCCTACATAGAAAAGATGCTTGCTAAGTTCAATCTTTCTGATTACCCAACGAAGTTTATCCCAGAAAACCCGAACAAAACACCCTTCGGCCCTAACAGGTGGCCCATGCACAGATAAATTTTGCTCACTTTGTAAACTTCGATGGATATATCTATGTTTTGAACTATGTTATATAAACCAAGATACAAATTAAGTCAATTGATAGCTTGTGTAAGAATGATTGGGACTGCCTCTTAGTAAGAGCCTTAATATCCTCGATCACACAGCTGCCTCCTAGTAAGAGCCTTAATATCCTCGATCACACAGGACGTACCTCTAGCTGTTCTTTATTGAATGATTTTCACTAGACGTACTAAGTGCTCATGACCACATGTCTATTTTGTAGATAGACATAAGAACGTAAGTCAAGTTAATACATTAGCTAATATAAATAAAGTTCCATCTGAAGAAAAGTTAAAAAAAGAAAAAGACTTACTGGATTTTGGAGATTGGCGGGAAGACCAAAACCTGTAAGTAGTAGTTTAGATATTATAAAATTTAGTTTATAATATCCTACATATACTATCGTCTCAAATAGGTCCAAGTAAATGAGTCATATCAAATCAAAGTGAATTTAGAACACTTTGGAATTATTGGAAAAAGAACTTGTATTAAATTATTTTAGGGTTTAGCTCTTGATATTTTAGACTGACTGGAGGCCGTATTTCTACAACTTTTGGGCGCATTAGGTTTTGCATCAAACATGACACGCGTAGGTATATCATGTACGCGCAATCAGCTCGTATCCTATAGCAATCAGCCACTCACTAAACACTGGACTGCTCTACAGCACATCCTTCTCTACCTAGCACGCACCAAGGAATTTGTACTCACCTACCGTCCTAAATTAGCCTCCCAAACGGTCGACGATGTAGGGTTGCAGAAATCCACTAAAAAAATCTACATGTTCTGTCTCTGTCAAAACATTGTTAATAGCTCTTGAGACCTTCTCTGATTATGACTGAGGCAACTGTCTCAACACCCATCGATCTCAATCAGGCACGCTCATCACATTCAATGGTATTCCCATCCTATGGCGATCCGCCAAACATGGCGATCCGCCAAACATGGCGATCCGCCAAACAACAGGTATGTGCCAATAGTAGCGGCGAAGCCGAATATGTTGCGGCAACTGAAGCAGCCCAAAACTTGGCCTGGATCCGTAACATCCTTGAAGCATTTGGCTACACGCTCTCAACCCCTACAAAATTTCTCATTGACAATCAATCAGCAATCAAGGTAGCACTTGACACAGGAACTCCTAAAGGCTTAAAACACATTGGAATCAAACATCACTACGTTCGCAAAAGCGCACAAGATGGCAAAATTGATCTTTAATACGTTAATACGCATGCTAACCCAGCGGACTTGCCCACCAAAAGCTTACCACAACCAAAGCACGAGCACTTCTGTGAACAGTTCCTTACGACTCCTGTTGGTTACTTCCGCCGAACACCCGTCGTGGGCTATTTCCGACAACGCCCCCTTCTAAGACGCACATAAAGCTTGGCTTCAAGGGGGGTATTGCACTAAAAGTGCACTCATGAGAAGCCTATACTCTATGGCTCTCTAATTCCTGCGTATTTCGGCCACGTACCTCGGCTACTTCGTAATATTACTACTCCGGACCTAACCTCGGTCCTAAAATACAGTTTGGACAATAGTGGTTTTAGGTGCATATAAAATGCATGACATAAAATCTAATAAAGTTAGTTCTTCCGATAATAACAATTTATTAGGCTCTTTTTTTTTGTTGGAAATAATATATAGTGAAAACAGAGCTTGCCAAGTTCCCTCTAGTAGTCTAATATTTTCGGAGGTTCAGCATCATTCACGGCTCGCTCCAGACTAGGTATATATAAGCGTCAGTACTCAGATGAGCGTCGGACTTTTAGTGCCATAGCGGTCGCAAGATTATGCGTCAGACTGACGAGTCGCAGGCATAAGCGTCAAGCTTAGTAGTTGCAGGCGTAAGCATCAGATTTAGTGGTCGCAAGTTTAAGTCGCAGTTTTAACGCGCTAGGCTTGAGCGTCAGATATAGTGGACGCAAAACCAAAAGTTAGACTTGTCTCAACTGATCTCGATTGTTTGTTCTCATATGTATATATATATAAAAATACCATATGTACGTAGCCGAGGCCCGAGGCGACCTGCGGAGGCGGACTTGTGTCCGTCAGCCTTATTTTTTCTTTCTCTCCCTAGAGAGTAGAGGACTAGAGGGTCATCGCCGAGGCTACATATGTAAAAATATTCATATGTTCCATAGCTCTTCTTCATAAATTTTAAAACACGTCATGAGTCATGAGTTCATGACCCTCGGCCTCTGCATTCTGGGAATCTGGCCGGGCTCTCGTTAAAGGAGGCAGCATAAGCCATTCTGAAGTTTCACCGGGTTTTCAATGCGAAACACCTCTCCCATCGGAAAACTCAAATCTCTATTCGAAATCCGGGGACAGGCCTCCAGCCTCCAGGCTCAGAGGGTCATGTCTGCATCCAAACGGTAGTTTTTGCTAAAGTGTCCGCCTGTGGACAAACGCCTGTGCCCTGGTCCTGCTTCAAACGATGCGTCTTCAACTGTTTATTCTGTATTCAATAAGCTACTAGACGCATGGATTCAGTGTTATTGGATTCGCTCGGTGTTATATATATTATAATGTGCAATAAACAATATACGAGCTATAACATAAAACCAAAGAGTATTGAAATAGCCTGTTACTTGAGTATGCATAATGAGCTTTGGCGCTATATATGTATATTGTTCCGACGTTACTCAAATACGGCTATATTTATAATTTGTAACAATTGAAAAGTTACTGCTTATATTCAATCAGATCTAACAAGTACCGCTGCGTGAAATCGAATAGCAACCTAATAAGTACTGCAGTGCGAACAAGTAGTGCTGTTTGTGTACAAATGGGCCGTCACCAATCCAGTATATCAGCAATCTCCACGTTGAAAAACGCGCTAAACTTCTCCCGTGTCCCTGGAATACTGCTGTGTTCTATACTCAGTTATGTAGATATGATATATTGCTAAAAGGCATCCTGTGTAGGTTCACTCATGAAAGTAAGCAATTGTCCGAGTGAAATGAACTGTTCAGGACTATCGAAATCTAATCTTGACTTGAATAAACTTCCCTCCGATCTTTTCAAGCTCTAATAAATTATTCAAGACTTTAAAAACCTGAGCTCAACTTTTAACGATTCGGCCGACAAGCCACTTATCTGAGCAACTGATCAAACCGTGCAAGCATTTCAATGTTTCAGACTTGTCAACATCTTGCAACTATTACAGACCATGCAAGCATTTCAATGTTTCAGACTTGTTAACATCTTGCAACTATTACAGACCATGCAATCATTTCAATGTTTCAGACTTGTTAACATCTTGCAACTATTACAGACCATGCAATCATTTCAATGTTTCAGACTTGTTAACATCTTGCAACTATTACAGACCATGCAATCATTTCAATGTTTCAGACTTGTTAACATCTTACAACTGTTCAAACTATGCAAGCACCGCTTTTGGAGAAAAAAACCAGCCAGAAACCATTATTAGACAATCCCTCGATCAAAGACAGCTGACACTAATAACCACACATGTATTCCTAAGAAACCGATCAAAAGAATTTGACTCGTGACATCGGGTGAACGGACATGGCATTTATCAACTATTTTCTTTTCCTGGTGCAACAACCCAGCAAATTCGAAATCTATCACTTAACTTCAATCCAGCGTCTGCATCGATCCTTTTTAACTATATTTACAGAGTATGTTTCTCGACTTGATCCACACAGATTTCATGAAGCAAATAGATCCGTTCGACGACAACGTACACCATTGCTACCTCCAGGTTGCCATTAGTCGCGGTTTAAACCATATTTCAGTCTAGATGACTCAACAGTAGATTAGATATCTACGCCAAATAACAAAGTGGTTCAAAGCTACACACGCATGTGGCGCCATCTTAAGTCGAAAAGTCACCAACCAGCACGATTCAACAGATTAAAAGCTATCCTGGCGGGGAGGGTACTTAGATACAACTCCGGTGGCGCGAGCGCGACCATTCTCATCCATATCGGAAACATATTCAACTTGAGCTCCATCCTGGCGAGAATAAGAAAAAAATGATTATAAGAATAGGCTTTAGTACAAGGCAAGTAAACGTGACAACCAAACCAAAATCGAGACGAAGAAACAGTTAGCAGCTGAAAGCCTTTTTACACACGTACTATCTAACAATCTAACACGAGACCGAATACCAAAACGAACAAAGTGCCATCGAATGCAGCATGCTCCAAAATACAAGGCGTCGCTTAAAACAAACAGAAGCAACTTAAACGAAACAAAGTAAAAATTCTGTATATGACAAAAGGACAGCTTGCACAGAACGATGTTAACTTACCTCTAAGTAGCGGTATCCCTCCATCTGAATGTTGCTGTGGTGAACGAAAAGATCGGGGGCACCGGCTTCCTCGGGGGTAATGAATCCATAACCCTTAGTTCTGTTGAACCACTTGACAACACCCTCGTGTCTTTCACCAGTGGCGTATGCGCGCAGGGCAGTGAAAGCGGCGGGGGTTCGCGCTACAGCGGCAATACCAGCTGTGCGGGTGGAAAGTAGGGCAGAGAACATGATACACAAGAAGGAATGAATCAGAAGATAAGACTAACAAAAATAAGTCGATGTGCGCGTTATTTGTTTAGGGAATATCCATTGTAAACGTGTGTGAGTACATGCTTTCGATATATTCTAATCCAGTTTCAGTGTGACTTTGACAGCGTCTAAAATTCCTCTATAGTTGTCTGTTATACAAAAAAGACCAACATGTAGAAGACAATTGACGAAATGATGAATTGACAACTTGTTGACAGGTGGCACCGTGTGTGGATGGCAGTGGCACGGCACCACAAACAGCGGTTTGATATGACTAATGTGGGGTTCCACGGAACTTTCAGGTTCAGAATTCTAGCCGTCGGTTGTGAGGGCACTGGTGTTATAAATTTGTCTAAAAACGTAGTTTACTATATTGTTTGATACAAACCGAGTTTGTTTTAAAAACCTTAGAGGTGAAAACCTTAACTCGAGCTAGGGTGTAGAGTGTAAAGTTGTGAACCTATGATATGTACAGCACCTGCGCACTGCCGGTTCCAGAATTCAAAATAAATTAATATGGTCGACGACGAGCAGACTATGCTTCTGAATGTGCGACATGCTTGAGACGTGTTCATGTCACAATGTCAGAATCTGAAGTATTAATCGCAGAGAAGCAAGATCCGTATCGCTTGGCTGAGAAGGATCGTAAGCGAACGTGCGCTTTTGCCGACACAGTTGCTGAGCGTGTGATTAACCACTGGCGCGTTGTAACGCACAGCCACGTTGATGATGCACTCCCTAGCCAGACTGTATTGGCAGGGTTCGTTTTACGACGCGAGATTACGGGCGCTGAGCCAGTTTTGGAGGTGAGTGAGATCTCCAATGAGGAACAGATATCTCAACTAGAAGTTTTCTACATACAATTTGTCTACATAAACGTGCAGATATTGATTTTGACACGTATGACCTGTTGCCACATACATGTACATACGAGTATGTACACATAAAGACACACACTAACACACCCACACACAGACACAGAAACAGACAACGACAAACACACACACGAATATGCAGACACAGACACAGACACAGACACAGACACAGAAACAGACACAGACACAGACACAGAAACAGACACAGACACAGACACAGATACAGACACAACCACACACAGTCACATACACACCCATACAGAAACAGACACACACAGACACACAGACACAAACACACACAGATACAGAAACAAAAGCAAACACACACACTAAAAAAACAACACACACACACACAGAGATACACATACACACACACGCATAAATACATGCATACACACACACTCACACACATACATATACACACACACACACACACACACACACATATATATATATTTCTATATACGTATATATATATATAGACATTT